CGAAGAAATCGTTTGCAAATCGTGTATGGCGCTGGCCGAGCCGAGCCGAGCCGAGTTTTAGTAGTTACCTTAACCTAGAACACACTTCCTTTCGAGCCACCGTAACAGCAATATCGGCAGTCAACTATACTCCCGTTCCGTCTCAAAACGTTCTTAGCTGATTAAGCTGAATTTCCCAGGAGCATCCTCCAGTCCCCACGTACCTCTAATCGAGACGGGGAGTATTGTCCATCCAATTCCCGCGGACAGTATTCCCTGTCTCGATGGAGGTTGTTGGTTAACCCGAGAAGCTCGAATCCCCAAGCCCAAGCAGATTGTTTGCGGAAGACCCCGAAAAGCAGCTTTTCATGATTATTGGCGCAAACACAACGTGGTAAAGTTAGTTTACTTTCAAAAATTAATATTATAAGGTACTGAACTGATTTGAGCCGATTCCACACGTAAGATACATGTGACAAGATGATTGTGTAATTTTAGAAAATAACACAGAAAATATCTGTGTTATTTCCGACTACTGTAGTAGAAAAATATTTTAAATAAGATAAATAAAATAATGAAATAAAGATATTTTTAATATTAAAAGAAGAACTAATAAAATGTTGAAAAAAAAATTTTTTTTAAATGATGAGAAATGTTTCGTTATGAAAAAAAGTTCGAAGAAGAAGACAAGAGAAAAAAACATTATGAAATTAGTAGAAGTAAAATATTACAATGGTAAGAAAGGTTTCGGTCCATTAAGTCGTATACATTTTTTACCGTTACCACAATTGGACCTCACCAATACGACGACTGTGGTAATTGGTGTAAATTTGATTCGGTTTTAACTAGTCATGTGAAAATTAAAATTAGTTATGCGGAAATAAGTAAAAGTACGCTCATAAAATAATGAAATAAAATAAAATATTTTTCATGTTAAAAGAACTAATAAAATGTTGAAAAATTTTTTGATAAAATAAAATAAGATATTTTTTATGTTAAAAGGACTAATAAAATGTTCAAATACTTCTGAGTTTCATGCGCGGACACGTGAAAATTTTGGCGAGAAATTTTATGCCTCGGAATTTCGGACGAGTTAAAAAAGCTGAAAATTTGTTTCAATGTTTCCTGTTAATTTACGATCCGGAACTTCAAATCCAGATTTTCATGTTCGTCTACGTTTTTAGTACCAATAAATGCAATTACACGTGAAAATTTTTAATTTAGGCACCGAACAACAACAAAGCCTAAATTGTCGAAGGATTTTTCTTATTCTTACGGGATCCTATGAATCTGAACCCAGTTCTCATGTACAGATGACACTTCATGGAAGGCGGAGGAAGGGTGGGGGACGGGTCACGTGAAATTTTCTTACTGTGATAGCTCGGTGAGCAGACATTACTCTTGCACATATCAAACTGTAAAGCAATGCCCATGCGGCACATTCGAGTTCGCGCCACTCACCGTGGGGTATCTCCACCTAAGAAAAGTTTTCGCAAATCGTGTATAGCACCGGCCGAGTATTAGTAACAGCCTTGAATTTGTTTGCATTTTGCGGCAATTTTCAATTTTATCCCATGCTTTTAGGAGTAGTGGGGAAGTAGGGGAAGTCAGGGCTCCGGGTTCCCGTTGTTCATCCACCTGGGGGTGCTGGTGGATGCTGAGCGTACTGGGCTACCCAAGTAGTGGTATTTCATTCTGGTAGCGTTGGGTATCGCCACCCGTGAGTTTTTTTTTCTTGGTTTTTTTAAGGTGACATCCTTCCGCTGGCGCCTTATGTTTGGCTGGAGATATAATGCTTCTTTCGAGGGTTGAAGCATGCGAGAGATATTCGTAATAACAAAAATAAATAATGACGATTTTAACAATAATGATATTCACAATAACAAATAAATAACAATGACATTAATAATAATGATATTCGTAACAACAAATAAATAACAACGATTTTAGTAATAGCGATGCTTGTAACAACAAATAAATAACAGTGATTTTAATAATAATGATATTTGTGAAAACAAATAAATAATAATGATTTTAATAACAATGGTGTATATATATATATATATATACACCATTGTATATATATATATATATATATATAACAGCAACTAAGTAATAGTGATTTTAGTAATAATGATATTCTTAGCAACAAATAAAAAATAATAACGATTTTAATAATAGTGATGTTCGTAATAAATATAATAATAATGATGATAATTGTCCTCTTATGCTATCATACTATTTCAAAAACTCATGTTTTGAGCTTTTTTGTAAAGAGCTGTCAGATGTATGTGTAAGCAGAGCTTCATAGCCGAGAGTCTTCGAAGCATCTTCGAGCCCGAGCCCGCTTCTGTAATTTAATTTTTTTTGATAATTTTTTCTTTATATACGCGATAATTTTAGAAATAACCGGTGAATAGGATATCGCATTATGGCAGCACGGTCGAAATGCTTTTACACCAGTTTTGCGGAACTCGAGCACAATACAGAATTTGAAAGGGTAAGTTTTGAAATTACCGTCTAGGTGCATTCTTTCGATTATGTTAATTGTAATTATCATCACTGCTATTATTATTGGGAATGTCATCGTTGTTTTCATTTGCATTATTATTATTATTATTATTATTATTATTATTATTATTATTATTATTGTTATTATTATTACCATTATCATTATTATCATTATTGTCATTATCATTATTATTATTATTGCTATCATTATTGTTGTTGTTATTATTGTTATCATTGCTGTTATTATTATTATTATTGTTGTTGTTGTTGTTGTTATTATTGTTATCATTATTATTACTATTATTATTATTGTTATTATTATTATTGTTATTATCATTATTGTTATTATCATTATTGTTATTATTATTGTTATTATTATTATTACTATTGTTGTTGCTGTTATTATTATTACTATTGTTATTGTTATTATTATTATCATTATTATTATTACTACAGTAATGATTGACATTCTCAGTATTTCTGTCTTGTTATTAGTGCTATTATGTTACTATTCTGTATATTACTATTTCGCGTCCGAATGTGGAAACGAGTGATTCGATTCTCTCCCCATTTGTTAAAGAGGGCATTGGACAAAATTTCACTATTGCTTGAATTTTTTAAATTGTTCTACTCGTATGAAGATTTTTTAGATTTCTACTTATGCTGTGATCGCTGAAGTCGGCACATCCCGATCAAATGTTTTAAGGGGCCCCGGTAAGTGATTTGCTTAAACATCAGTGCCTGAGGTTCAAGGTATGAAAAAATAATTTGGGCTTTCCCCTCCCTCTTCCCCTGGAAATGTCAGGATTTTTGCTGGGAGTGTTTCCGAGAATGTTGCGGGAGAAGGAGTGACGATACGGGGGCGAAGGGGGGGGGGG